AGTAGACAAGATACAACAAACACTCTTTTACATGCACTGCTGAACTCACAAGCAAAGAAATTCACAGGTGGCACAAAGAGATATAGTATAAATAGCTTTAAAAAAATCTGTTTTACTGAATAAAATCAGAGCTGTAAACAAAAGCTCACATGACCTCAGCTTAAACTTGGAATCTAGGGACTTCAGTTTTGATTTTTATGAGACATGGTAAAAGCTGAAATTGGAACCACTGCATAAAACCAGCAATGCCCTTTAAGAGTCACACTCCATAGGTAGGTCAGGGAAAAGGGCTCTGTCCACAAAACGCAACTTGTTCAAATCAGGCCTTCAACTAGAATGGGAGAAGTATCTTCCCTGGAAATCCAGAATCATAAGCCTGTCCCCAGCTGGGTACAGGGTTAAAATTTACACTAATTTTGAGGGCCAGGAGCCTCAAGTTAAGAAATGAATTTGTTTCTGGGTTGGTGGTAACACAAGGTACCTGGCAGACGGAGAAGCAGCAAATTCTCTGTAGATAAACACATCTTCAACCCATAATCCAGGAAATTACTACATAATATTATTAGGCAGATATGAGCTTAGAACAAAATTATCAGGCATAAAAGGAAACAAACCCCCAGAGCAGTAAAAGCTAGGAAAAACCAAATTAAATGCACAGAAGTTAAATTTTAGGAATTAACAGATACATAACATTACAATCAAGTATGCTTTAAAAGTTTACAGAAATAAAAGAAGGTATTAAATATACTGGTCAGATTTTTTTTAAAGTTAACCCTAGAAATAAATAAACACATGGGTCAGAAACAAGAGGCTAACAAAAATGAATTGGCAGATAGGATAAAAAGAACAAAACAGAATTTCTGGAAATAAAAAATGAAATTAAAAACCTAACTGGTATATAAAGACATAAAATTAGTAAACAAAATGGCAGCTCTGAAGCAGCAAAGAGAGCAAGAGACAGAAAATAAGAGCGACATGAGGCATAGAATAAGATATATATCTAATTAAACAAGGAAGGGTGATGAAGAATAGAATAAGAAATTATCTAATTAAACAAGGAAGGAAGAAAGAACCAGTATTTAAACAGATAGTGGCTGAAATTTTTCCAGAATGGGTAGAAGACATAAAACCTCAGATTCAGGAGACACAGTCACAAGGAGAGTAAATAAGCAAGAAATCCATCTACGGCCATACCACCCTGAACACGCCAGATCTCGTCAGGTCTGGAAGCAAAGCAGGGTCGGGCCTGGTTAGTACTCTGGATTACCGGGAGCCTTAGGCTTAAGAAAAATAAATAAATAAAAAATAAAAAATAAAAAAAAACCAAGAAATCCACATCTAGACACATTACATGAAACTGCAAAACACTAAAGACAAATAAATGATCTTTAAAAGCACTCACAGATAAGGAGTCAGACTATTTATCTACAAAGGAACAACAATTAGACTTTTCAGAGAAAAAAAAAGCCAGAAAGACTGCAGAATAATATTGTGCTAAAAAAATTAAGTCAACCTAGAATTATATTCTCAAGTAAAACATCATTCAATAAATAGGGCAAAATAAAGACATTTTCTAACAAACACCAAGGATTCACTGCCAAAAGATGTCCAATAACACATTCTTCTTCTAAAGGATGTATTTTAGGATCAAAAGAGACTCAGATGGAAAGTTTAAAATGCAAGGAGTATCAAGTAAACTAGCAATCTTGGGTAGACATAATGTTTGAGGACTGTAAAAACAACAATAATAATGTCTATGCAATTTTTTAAAAGCTAGAACTCAAATATGGAGCAAAATATCATGGAAATGGGAAGATGGAAGTACAATTAAATTGCTCTGAAGACTTCAAACCATTTGGAAAGTGGACAGAGTTAGTAATTTGGGGTCTCAGGTTCATTATGTTTATTAAATTATTAATAGCAACAACTAGAATAATGAAAGTAGTATATAACAGCGATTCTTAATTGAGGATACTACCCACATAAAAATGGAAAGGAGGTGTTTGGAAATGTGGAGGGGCATTTGGGGTTGTCCCAATAACTGGGGATGATAATAGTATTTGGTAGGTAGGAGCCAATGATTTGAAAAGTACTACTGTGCCTTCAGAGTGCCACATGACAATCCTGGCAAAAATAACAATAGCACCTATATTGAGAAATACTGTATACACCTACCAAAAAATGAAATTTAAACAACTCAGCATGGAAATTAAACAACTCAATAAAAATCACTTGCAGATCTGCTTTAAATCAGAGTCTTGGCTTCCACACCACAGATTCTTAATCAGCAGATCTGAGGTGAGCCCCAGGAACCTATGGTTTTAATACCACTCCAGTGCCTCTGTTTCAATCAATTATAGCCTATCAATCACACTTTGAGAAACACTGTAGTCTAATAAGGATGAAATGTTAGATGAATGGGGTTTAAGAGACTCCCATTTCAGCAGGAGGCACTGGAGGAAGGGATGCCCAGGGTTGAGAAGAAATCTAGCAACAGGGAGTAGGTGGTGACAGAAATTCACGTGCATTTATCATTAAGTATGCCCAAAGCAGAAATTGGAGATCAGAAGAAAAAGCACTTTTTAAAGATTAATAATAATATAGTAGAGCAGTGCTTTACATAAAATGCCTTTAAAAAATGCTGGAAGTGAAAATACAACAGAATAGTTTAGAAAAACATCAATGAAATAATTCAATCCACAACCTAAAAATGAGTTACCCTATAAACACAATGGGAAAGTCTGTCTTCAGAAATCCTGCCCATACTCTGACCTACATCCATCTCTTGAGTAATGACCTTATTCACCAATTTCTAACATCTAGGATATGTCTGTCCTGGAGTAGCAGAAAAGTATTTCTGAAACGTGTTAAATATATTCTGGTAAAAAAAAAAAAGAGTTCTTGGTTAAGTATTAGAAATAATATATATTATATTCTCCTAGAGATCAACTGTGCACATTAAAAGATCCTGAAAGTTCTGCGGGAAAGAAAACCATTTACTTTTGTTTGACTCTTCATCTCCCACCATTATTTGACTAAAGACACCCAAAAGTCCCCCGACTTGCTAGAAAATTTAGGATTTATAAAAATACATTCACTTAAGTAAACACTGTCTATTCACTGCTATATCCTTGGCACCTTGAACAGTGCCTGGAAGACAACCAATGCTCAAAATATGTGGAATGAGTAATTAAAATCAGTTGTATGCTGGTAAATGTTTAAAAAAACAGCTTAGGGGAATGAAGACAGAGTGAGCACTGATTTGTAGCGTTTTAGTGGTGTAAACACTCCCACCAAGACAGATCACAACCTACCAACCTGGCATTTCTGCACCTGGAGTTGGGAAGAGATGCTTATAATCTCATTAATAAAAAAAAGGCTCCTGGACATCACCAATTAAAATGTTAAAGTGAAGCTTATTCAATGCAAATGCCGAATTTTTACTTCCCTAGCCAGTATCCTGGGGAATGAAGACCAAGTTTTCCAGGTAATGGTATAAACGTTAAGTGAAAAAATGCAAACTTTTTAATTCAAAAAAGAAACATTGTATGCTTATTGAGTGTGTGGTACAAAATTTAACATTTTCTGTTAACTCAATATTGCCTATTATATCAATTATCTATAAAGCATTTCAAAGTGACACTCTTAAATAAGATACATAAAAGCTATTTGCCCCTATACTAAATCACGTTTCTAGCTGGGTCCCAAGGCTGGGCTTCACTGAGCCCAAGAATCCCTGACACTGAACACAAACTGATAAATGTTCACACTTCTTTCTGAGAAAAATGTCTACAAACTCCATCAGGTGTCACTATGGTCTGAATGAGTCCCTCAAAGCTCATGTGTTGGAAACTTAATCCCCAATGCAACAGCACTGGCAGGTGGGGTGATTAGGTCATAAAGCCAGAGGTCATGATTGAGGAAGCAGGTTGCTTATCTTGAGACTGAGTTGTTTATAAAAGTGAGTTAGGGTCCCTCCTGCTCTCCCGACCTTTCACTCTTTCTTTTTTTTTTTTGAGACGGAGTTTCGCTCTTGTTACCCAGACTAGAGTGCAATGGCACGATCTCGGCTCACCGCAACCTCCGCCTTCTGGGTTCAAGCAGAACCTGCCTCAGCCTCCCGAGTAGCTGGGACTACAGGTGCGCACCACCAATCCCAGCTAATTTTTGTATTTTTAGTTGAGACAGGGTTTCACCTTGTTGACCAGGATGGTCTTGATCTCTTGACCTCGTGACCCACCCACCTTGGCCTCCCAAAGTGCTGGGATTATAGGCACGACCCACCGCGCCCGGTCGATCTTCCACTTTCTTACCCTTCCACCTCCTGCCATTGGATGACACAGTACAAAGGCTCTAACTAGATGCCACTGCCATTCTCTTGGACTTTCCAGCCTCCAAAACTGTGAGCCAAATAAATCTTTGTTCTTGTAAATTGCTCAGTCTCAGGTATTCCATTATAACAGCATAAAATGGACTAAGACAGGTATCCATAAGGTTAAGAATCACTTCTCTTAAGTAAATCTGGACTGTTCTGCTTAATTTGAGGCATTTTGGCTTTCTCCCTCTCTCTCATCAGGCTGTCAGTGGTTACTTTTAACTGACAGTGTGATGCTTACAGCATCGCCACCTCCAATTTGTTTTGGGTTGGAGAAACTGATAGGTGAGCTTGTTAGAAAATATTTTCATTAAATCACTGAGGGCTTCACCTATGAATATAGTGAATAACAACAAAAAATGTACAAACTGGTGGCAAATGTATAAAATAAATGAAATGTTTACACAACTGTTGGTAGTCCAGATTGAGTATATTATGGAAACACGACATATTCTACCCAATAAAATCTGTCTCCTTACAGGCCTTTTAAGATAATGTCCATCTTACAAGAGAACATACTTTTCAAATGTGTCATAAAACTTAGAACCTATCCATTTCAGAATCTCATTTTTACCTGCAGTCATTAGAATCTATCCATTTTTTTTAAAAAAGCTATGTATAGAAACTTCACTTTTTAAAATTTTAATTTTTAAAAATAATTTTTGTGCAGGGGGCCATGCTAATCTCTGTATCACTCCAATTTTAGTATGTGTGCTGCCAAAGTGAGCATCAAACTTCATTTTTTAATTTAGGATCACTTATGTTTAAATCTGGGGTGAGTGAACCAATTTCTAAAATTTGTGTCTATTATTTGAGGGCTGGATATGCACTTGTCCTTTGGTATATGCAGGAGACTGGTTCTGGGACCCCTGAGCATACTAAAATCCACACCTGCTCAAATCCCACAGCAAGCCCTGCAGAACCTGTGTATACAAAAAGTCAGCCATATTTATGTGGGTTTCACATTACACAAATACTGAGTTTGGTTGAAAAAAATCCACGTATGCGGACACATGTAGTTCAAGTTCAAGGATATGCTGTTCAAGGGTCAATCGTATATCTTTCATTAAAAGTGAAATGAGAAAGACATACACATGCTTTTTCATGACACAAAATTTCAAAGTAAATCAAATATATTTATAACTAAGCTTCATCAAGGCTTTGAACATGACTCTTACAAAGCACTCCTAGCAGTATTAGAAACTTTTTTTTGTTACGCTTTATAAAAATTTTTCTACCATTACTCCATTCACTAAAAATTTACCTACAAAAGAATGACCAATATGAATACCACTATTTTCACATTTCTTCTGCTCCCAACACCCTTCAACAACATCTCATTTGCTTCTGTTACTGCTGGACTTTTACTTCAGTAACATTATAGTAACCTTGCGAGAAAAATGGAGAAGCCAGGGAAAGGCAGAACAACTTCTAAGGATACACTGCACAAGGGTAAGCCTGAAATGAAGACAGCTTGAACTAAGGTCATTTAATGGGAATGAAGAGAAATGGTTAAAAATTCTACTTTATCCCAGGTTTTCCAGATTGTGGTTCTCCAGAACAAAAATTAACAAGAGCCACATTATTTTTGCCTAAGTAATTATTTCCAAGAATAAATAGCTATCTTTTCTGTTGTGCTTTTAATCCAGAGGTATCTAGAACAGTCCTCAAATGAAGGGGTGATATTGGAGGAAGTCCATTCCTCTCCACAGAGCCAGACCTGAGCTCGCTCAGCCAGCCACATATCAAAACAGTATATTCACAAATAAGTTATAAAACAGCTTGGCCAGATGGACAGGGAAAAAATGTAAGACCAGATCATGAAAAAGGAAGAGGCCCACTTCAGGGAATAAGATAGGCAGAATGTGGTCATGATGCCAAGGATAAGAATAAACAGAAAAAGGCCTGGCAACAACCGGCTTTGACAATAACTTGACTTAATTTCATTGGTGCTGACAAATATTATTTTCAGGTCCACATACCGGTGCGATAGCTTGTCTTTTCCATGCTAATCCCACACAGATCTTTGAGGGCTGAAGTAAGGAAGTTGGACAAAGTTTCTATCACCCGTTGTCAGTGCTATATCCTCCTCCCAAAGTTTCTTGAGACTGGCCTGAAAAGGGGCTTTCCTGTGCATCAGAAGGAATTTGAATCTATGAAACTCTCTAATTATTCTTCCAGAAATAGGAAACTCACAATGTAACTCTTAACATCTGAAACAGAAATGGAATAAAAGAATGATTCCACTATGATATCAATTATTGTTAAGATCAGATAAAATACTAGTTGAGATATACACTTCCAGCATTCTAATATTCAGTTGAATAAAAAAGGGAGAGATGGATGCCATTGTTTCCATTCAAGAAATAACACCAACTCATAATGAAGTACTAATATTGTAATGTGCAATAAACCCACCTGCAATGTATAAAAATTACCAAAGGAATTAAGCAACACAGCTTGCTGCTGACAAATCTAAACAAGATATAAAAAGTAGATTTTACCAAACAACCTACATGCACATGCACACACATGTACTTTTACCTAATAATGGTTTTATTCAGGCTACAGAGCAAGTATTAATAGGTTTTTCCACTATCTGATGATGCTGGATTTTTTTTGCATCTGAAAAAAAAAAAATGGAATCTTCTGAAACGCTTATACAATAGAGAAATTACATAATTTGACCTGATGAGGCTAACTATCAGCTCCTTTCTCACTATCAGGGTTGGCTAATTTGTCTTCCTGCTTACTGCCTTTGTTCTTTTGGATGAATGTAATTTCCCAAATATAAGACACTCCTATTATCCTATTTATCCATTATTATTTACTGTGACATAACAAAGCTTTGTTTACTAAAACCTATTGTGGCGCACTATACTCCAATTTCAATTTTCTCACACTCATTATTCAAAGAATCAGAAGCTCAAATATGCTACATTATAAAGGGCTCTGGAAAACACTACCAAATAATTCTTTCCATCTGTTTAGTTAAAAGGGGGCGGGGGAGACTGAGATTTCAATTACTCTTCAAAATATTTTGTGATATATATGCCTTTTTTAAAGCCGGCAAGCTTTAGTATACAAAAGACTAGAGCTGTTAAAAAGTTCAGGATGATAGACACAGTGTTCATTACGTAGAATACATGATACTTAAATATTAAAATATCAGGAAAAGGGGAAGGAAAATACAAGTTTGGTTTGGGGTTTTGTTTGTCTGTTTGTTTTGATGCAAGATCTTACTTTGTTGCACCAACTGGAGTGTAGTGGCACAATTATAGCTCACTGCAGCCTCTTAACTCCTGAGCTCAAACAATCTTCCTGCCTCAGCCTCCTGAGTAGCTGGAACTACAGGCATGCACCACCATACCTGGCTAACGTTTAAGTTTTTTTAATGTAGAATTGGGTCTCACCATGTTGCCCAGGCTGGTCTCAAACTCCTGGCCTCAAGTGATCCTCCCACCTGAGCCTCCCAAAGTGTTGGGTTTAGAGTGTGAGCCACCACACCCAGCCTACAAGTATTTGTAAACCAATAGCTTAATATTCCACAGTCCACTAAGATAAAATAAAAGACAATTCAGTTTACATTTCTGAAATTCTGCCAATATTTTTTACTCAAAACAATGTGCTTTAACTTCAAGCCCCAAATTTTTAACATATGACAGTACTTTTCATAAAACAATTTTAGCAAAAATATTAGCCCAGAAACAACATCTCTCTTCACTTCCTATAAGAGATCAAAGAGTCATTCTTACTATCTAAGGTAAATATACCTCTATTTAACAGAGCTATTACTTGATCGAAAAGACTACTTGCTTTTGAATGACTTAGTAGTATATACTATTATTAGACTTAGCTAAGCTGTAACACATACCAATAAATGGTTGGATTTCACATCACCCTCACCACAAAAAATGACAACTTTTCATCAATTAAAAACCTTGAAATTTCAAGTCAAAATAAAGAAATGATTCTTTTTCAACTTGCTGAGGTTCATCATGCCACATATTTACACCAGTAAAAATGGACAGTGTAATAAATTTCTCAACCAAGACTTTGGTACTAAAAAAAGAAAAATCCTACATAGTACTCACCAACTCTATGAAATGTGCTTTAAAACAACATTAAGAATTAGTGACTACAAATATAAGAGAATTCAGTAAGATGGTAACCTACAAAAAGAATATACAAAAATCAAGTTTTCATATATACAACATATTATACAAATAACAGCAGAAGATATAAAGACTTCACTTCCAGTAGCGACTATTTGTATACTTTCACTTAACCAGAAATGTGCAAACTTATGAAGAAAACTTTAAAAACCTTTAAAGAAATGTAAGTAGAAATGAATGAAGAGAATGTTATAATTATACTGAGACACACTAAACATCATAAAACTATCAATTCTTCTTAAGTTATTATAATTTATATAAACCCAATAAAAGTTATCAACTTTTTTCCTCTAGGAACTAGAAAAGCAGATTCTAAAGATCTTATTGAAAAATAAACAAGCAGTAATTGCCAGGAAAACTCTGAAAATGAAGAGCAATGAGAAAACAGCTCTAACAGTATAACTTTATATTACCTCAAGAATTAAAAGTGTATGAGTGACAAATGAATAGACCAATAAGACAAAATAGAAAGTCCAGAAATACACCCATATAAAGAATTCTTAGAGGAGATAATCCGAAGGAAAAATGGACAAGTATGTGAAAAAGAAAAGAAATACAAATGGCCTTTGAACATATGACAAGCTGAAAATGGAAACACAAACAAAAAATATACAGTGAGATAGTGTTTCTTATCAAGTTGGCAAAATCTGATTTACTCCAACCACTCTCTTGTCAAGCTGTAGGGAAAGGGGGGCATGCATTCCAAGGACCCTGATATATTGCTGCTGGAATGCAAAATGTATACAAACAGAATATCAATCAAAATTACAGAAGCATGTACCCTTTCATCTAGCAAACACCTTTCTAGGAAAAAAACCATCAGGACACTTACATACATACAAAATACACATACAATGTTATTCACTATGAAACTGCCTGTAAAAGCAAAAGACTGAACAAATTCAAGTGCAAAAGAACTTGTTGAATAACCTACGGCATATACCAAGAAATGAATAGAATGCAGTTAAATAAATAAATAAATAAATAAAAATAAAGAAACCAAGGTGAAAAATATTAGTATGTTACCTTGAGTAAAAGAAGTTGGAAACAAGAATGTGTATTTGAATTAGCCTTTTGCATAAAGTCTAAAGGAATAAACAGAAATTAATAAAAATTAATTAAAATATCGTTAATAATACATATAATGAACTAAGGAGAAGGGACAGATGGGGATGGGTGGGAGCAAGATTTCCCAGATGATACTTTTTAAAAACAGCACTTTGAATTTTGAACCATGTAAATAAATGCATTCTTTATTAAAATTATAAATTAAATTTGAAATAAAAAGATAAGAAATTGGTGCCATAGTTAACATTTGGCCCCAAAAATTTACTAAAACATGGTGTAAGCCTCTCCTTTGATGGTTTCAGGAATAATTAAAATTATAATAGTAATAATAATTGGCTGGGCATGGTAGCTCATGCCTGTAATCCCAGCACTTTGGGAGACCAAGGCAGATGGATCTCTTGAGGTCAAGAGAGGCCAACATGGCGAAACCCTGTCTCTACCAAAAAATACGAAAATTAGCCAAGTGATGCACACTGATAGTCCCAGC